CTGCTCCTTTTTCTCAGAGGGAAGCGTTTACACTCCAGAGCAGAAGGGGGCGCTACTGCGCCCAAAGCCAACCACCAGTAGGAAACCAGAAGAAGAAGAAGCAGCGTAGCCCATAAAAATCAGACCCAGCAGCAGTTTCTAGGTCTGCTGTATGGACCAGTTTGCATTTAGAGGGAAGCACATGTTGGAATTAGCTCTGTTTCCTCTCTGGCAGAATCTCACCTACTTTAACCTCAGACTGTCACAGTAATGGATCACATGTCACACTGCTTTTTTCTTTCAGTTTTAACCTGACTATACAAGACATAATAGATTTTCCTAACAATCAACACATACCGAACCCAACCCAAAACCGTGACCACGAAACCGTGAACCGAACCGAACCGTGGGTTTTGTGAACCGTCCCCCCCCTAACACTAGCCACTGATCCAGGTGCTGAACGGCCATCATGACTTCATGGTTCAAATGTGAATATTCACTGAGTCCGGTCCATTTGTTTGCAGCCCAAGGCTCTTGTTTTTACTTTGAATTATCCATCCATCCATTATCAATACCGCTTATTCCCTCATGGGGTCGCGGGGGGAACTGGAGCCTATCCCAGTTCCCCCCGCGGGGGGACCCACACACAGGACCAACAACCACTCACACTCACATTCACTCCTAAGGAGTACTGATCAGCACTGTGCTCCAGCTGCACTCCAACCTCCAAACCTGCTTTTTCCTCTGTTGTAGGCGGGAACACGCTGCTGCCCGGCCTGACGGAGCGGCTGCAGGCGGAGGTGGAGGGCCTGGTCCCGGCGGACACGGGTGTGAGGGTCCGGGTCACCAGCCCCAAGGACAGAGACTTCCTGGTGTGGAGAGGGGGGGCAGTGCTGGCCAGCCTGCCCAGCTTCAGCTCTGCCTGGATCAGCCAGGAGGAGTATGAGGAGTTCGGCCCTCAGATCGTCTTCAGGAGGTGCTTCTGACAGACTGAGAAAGCCAAATATTTCTGTGCCTCTTTCTGTGTTTTTCTGTGTTTGTGTGGACTCTGAGTCTGTCCTGATGCCTCCGGCCTCTGTTCTATGTTCAGAGGTCTAGATCCAGGCATCTGTGGTTTAGCGTTCCCTTCTTGGTGTCCTTCTGAGCTCCGTCTTAATTAATCTGTCTCCTATGTGTGTGTTTATGGGTAAGGATGTAGTATTAAGTGGTATTTTATTAAGGTCTGCTCACTGTTTCTACAGGAGCACACAGGGCCCGCACGCTCGCACAGTGACTTTATTTAAACGGTCCATTCAGAAGAATGAGATATTTTTGTTTTATGTAAATTCAATGTCAACATGCATTGAAGGGTCTTTGTCATTCAGTTTTCTTTTATGAAGTCTCTTTTCAACATGTGTGTTATGTTTTAGCCACAGGAGGTCCATGGTAGGATGTTTTTAAAGCAGTCAAACTCCTGAGGGGGGGTTAATAGATCAGAAGTGCAGTGCTGCCATCTCCCGGTGACCTGGGGGGGCTAACTCTGGGGGGCGGGGGGGCTGGGCAGAGGGGGTTATTGGCTCCAGGGGTGAGAGGGGAGAGCAGGGTTTGGTCTGGGGGGGTTTAACAGTCGAATGTAGAACTACTGCTGCTGCATGTGAACGTATAGATGTGAGTGCTGCTTTGTTTAGTTTAGATTTTTTCTTTCAAAATGTTCAAACTGAGTGCTGCTTTGTTTAGTTTA